ACTGCAAGAAGGTGCTGACGATGGATCGTTCGAAGTTTGGTACATGCCCTTCCACCCACAGACAAAAAGCCCGCAAAGGACGCGGTTTCCACCCGAGCATGGACGGGCGTCTCGGACTTAACAGCCGCCGCCGGGGTCTGAACGCCGGACAATGGCCTTAGGGGAGAGGGTCCCGGGCGGGCCGCCACACCAGTTCTCTTACCCGCGTCTCTACCAAGGGCCTCGTCAAGACGCTGTTACTCTTTTTCTCTTCTTTTTCCTTTAATTGTTCTTTCTGTTTCTCTGTCTCCTTCCCTTGCTCTTTCCTCTTCTCTTTATCTTCTTTCCCCGTACTTTCCTTGTCCTGCTCTTTCTCTTTCTCCGTCTCCTTTTCTTTTCCCTTAATTTTCTCCTCCGATTCCTTCCTTTTCGCTTTCTCCTCCTTTCTTTTGTCCCTAATTTTTTCTTTCTTCGTCTCCTTTCCCTTCTCTAGGCTCCTCTTCGGCTTCACTCTCTCCATCCCCACCGCTCGGGTTTCCCGCTCTACCCCCGCGCGCCCGCGCGCCGGAGCCGCAGCCCTAGGTCTCCGCAGGTGTGGCCCCCGCGGCGGGCACAGGGCAGAGACGTAGGTCCACGCGGCGTAACCACACCCGCAGTCACCACGCCCGCAGCCTGTCCCCGGGCGCGCAGGCTTCGGCCGGGCATGGCGCGCTCACCGCGGGCTGCTCGAGGTAGGTTCGCCGAGACGGCCTCGGGTAGAGGAGTCGGAAGGATCTAGAGGAAGGGTCAAGCCCAGCCAAGGCGGATGGGGAGGACCAGCCGCAGGAGGGGATCGTTGCTGCAGGAAAAACGTTCCCAGGCAACCCCAGCTCGACAAGATGCACTGCAGCGCGATTGCCTAGGCCCGGGCGCCCTGGGAACGCTTTTCGACCGAGCCCTGTTCTGAGACTTCACTGGCTGACCTCAACGGCTTTATGCACCAACCAGCCCAGCCCACGCGTTTCCGACCAGAACGCCTGCGGCGCCAGCCCTGAAGGCGGGAAAATGAATCCCCGCCTCCTCCCAACTCCCAATCACTAGCTTGGCAAGTGTGGTTGTGTCACATCTCCCTGCCCTCTGTCCCGTGTTAACGCCAGTAGGAGTGTGTAGAGGCAGCTATCCAGAATTACGAACAAGAGGAATGTGAATGTCGCCGTCATTTTAAATTCCTGTTACATCTCGCGTTAAAAAAAATTCCCGGAGATTAAATTAGCTGTCTACTAGAATCCTGACTACTAGTAATGTTGGGTATTAAATCCACAACTAAGCAAAATAGTCTGCACAAACGGGCTTTTCAAACGCCATGTTGTTTCTTAAACTGGATGAGGAGTGTATGGATGGTTCCTTTTACTATTTTGTTAAACGGGACTCCTGCGTATTTCAAAATTTAACAAAATTATTGTAATGCAATAAACTGACTTCCCTTCATCTCATCTATGTTTGAAATAGGTTTGTAAGGTACAATGAATGAGTGGCAGGTTCCAGAAGGCTTGGGGGATGCAACTGTTTTTAAGGTTAGCTCTTTCCAAGTAGTCTTGAACATGCTGTGCTTAATTAAGAAAAGTCTACTCAATTTGTTTATGCATACATACCAACATGATGAATTTTCAGTGGGGTTTAAACTGGGTTCTCTCAATCCCAATAGATTAGTTCTGTGGCTTTGCTGGGATGGCAGGAGGCCTTTTAGAACCCCAGATTAATAAAAGAAAATTCTTAGATATACCAACCAAGAAGTCATCCATGAAACGCCAACACCCAAGACACCTTAATCCATATTCACCACTAGAATATTTTATTTCACTCACAATGAGCCACAGTGAATGGATGCATCCATATTGGTTTTTATAAATGTATACACACACACACACACACACACACAAAGTATATATGTCATTGGTTAAAGACCTGTCCAAAAGAGCAAAGTTAATGTAAATGTTCTTTTGACAACTTTTATTTATTTGAACTGAGGTTTTGGTTGCTTCGTAATGACTAGCAGTAACAGTGACTAAATAGAGAACTGTAAACTTTACTGCTGTATGTTGGGTTAAAATTTTCAGTGATGGACTATTTTCACCAAGATTCTGTAGCTTAGTTAACTGAAAAATGATTACCCTTTACCACAGAAATTTAATGGATCCTACATAACAATTTACTAACAATTATTCCTGTATCGGGTACGTATTCAGAAGGAATAAGTATCTGTCATTCCTACTAAAAGACTGTTTTCTGTAGAGCTCAAAAAGTATTATGCCATAATACATCATTCATATTTCAAGAGGATTTCTTTAGATGTCACCAC